TCCCCACCAGAAGCCAGGGAGCACCTTGGCCTCAGCACAGCCCGGTCAGCACAAGGAAGAGATTTAGAACCAGCTAAAAATGGAAGCTTGGATGTTGTGGCTGACAGGGTTACCTGCGGTTGGACAGAGCCTCCCTCCCTCTCTCCTCCAAGGCCAAGGGCATTTTATTCAAGGCCATCTGCTCTGTCACTGCTCAGTGCCCCAACCCAGCCCCTCCTCAGCTTCTGGTCTTCACTCAAGTTCATGTAGGACCAATGTTCTTAGAAAGAGATCTAAAAAAATTATCCATCAAAAGTATCATTTTGTAAACAAAACTGCCGTTTTCTATTCTTCATATGAACTCTTTCTATTGTGTTGGTCTAACAAGGCACTATTTTAAAATGTTTTCTTAAAAATTTTTTTCTCCCATAGCACTTAAAAGATTTTGTAAAGACTTTGATATAAAGATTTTGTAATAAAATGGCCTAAGGGCTCTTTCTTCCCCCAGCATTACTATTTTTTTAAAAAAGATTTATTAATTTTTTTTTAATTGGAAAGGCAGATAGATATACAGAGAGGAGAAGAGACAGAAAGGTCTCCATTCGATGGTTCACTCCCCAAGCGGCTGCAACGACTGGAGCTGAGCCAACCCAAAGCGGGAGCTCTTCTGGATCTCCTGGCACCCATATGGGATCCCAGGGGTGGCAAGGCGAGGAAGGCGAGAATTTAGCCACTAGCTAAAGTCCTCTCCTTGAACGTGCCGGGATCGCACATGGGTGCTGGTTCTAGTCCCGACAGCTCCACTCCCCATCTAGCTCCCTGCTTGTGGCCTGGGAAAGCAGTCGAGAACAACCCAAAGCCTTGGGACCCTGCACCTGCGTGGGAGACCTGGAGGAGGTTCCTGGTTCCTGGCTTCAGATCGGCTCAGCTCTGGCCACTGTGGTCACTTGGGGAATGAATCATCAGACGGAAGATCTTCCTCTCTGTGCCTCCTGCTCTCTGTATATCTGACTTTGTGATAAAAAAATAAAATACATCTTTTTTAAAAAGAGAATGGCAGATTTACAGAGAGAGGAGAGACAGAGAATGTTGTTGTACCTGCTATGTCACTGCCCAAAGGGCAACAATGACTGGGACTGGACCAGGCCTAAGCCAGGAGCCAAGACATTTTTCTGGGTCCCCCATTTGGGGTAGGAAACCAAGTATTTGGACCATCCTATGCTGCTTTCTCAGGCACATTAGCAGGAAAGGAACTGGAGTAGTTGGCACCCATGCGTGATGCCAGTGCTAGAGTGGAGGCTTCACCTACTACCTCCCAGCGCTGGCTCCTAAGATGCTTCTTAGGACACTCACGACCCGTGCACAATGGCTGAGTCAAGGTCCAGCCCTGGTCCTCCTTCTAGCTCCCTGCTAGTGCACACTCTGGAAGGCAGATGGTGCCTGCAGCAGCTGGGGCTTTGCCATCATGACATGGATTGAGATCCTGGCACTCAGTTTTGCCTTGGCTCACCCCCAGCTGTCACACGCATTAGGGGAATGAACCAAAGGATGAAAGCCATGTCTCTGTTTCAAATAAATAAAATAAATACAAAGATAATAATAAAACAATAAAAAGTTACATTTTATACACTATGCTAGTGAGACTGTTGAGTTCCCTGTCTTCAGGCAATAGGATTTATTGACTTGAATAGATCTTCACCTCTTGAATTTACTTTCCTCTGTGTGAAATTTGGTGAGACTGGTAGCCACTTCATGCTCTGTAAGCATCACTGTTGGGCTCCAGATTTGTCATAACAGGCTTGTATTCCATAAGCAGAAAGACTGAAAACAGCCTGTCCTTCAAAGTTGTGCATTTGAATTTTTTTTAAAGATTCGTTTGAATGGCAGAATTATAGGAGAGATGGAGAAAAATGTGTTTCACGTGCCAGTTCACTCGCCAAGTGGTCCTGACAGTCACGAGTTGGCCAGGCTGAAACCATGAGTCAGGAACTCCACCCAGGCCTTCCACCTGCAGGCGCCTGCACCATCTTCTGTTACTTTCTGAGAGGCACTAGCAGGAAGCTGGATCGGAAGTGAAGCAGCCAGGACTTGAACTAGTGATAACACGGGATTCCAGTGCTGGTTCCACAGCATCGACCCCTCAAAATTCTTCATTTGCAGGTAATGCAATTGGGCTTAGAACAATCAATTGACAATTCCACTTCTCTCTCTTCAAAGATTTACTTACTGAATTTATTTAATTTTTTTGAATATGTAATTATTATGTGAAAGGCGGAGTTTCAGAGAGGAGAGACAGAGAGATCATCCAACTGCTGGTTTACTTCACAAATGGCTGCAACTGCCAGAGCTGGGCCCGTTGCAAGCTGGAAGCCAGGAGCTTGTTTCAGGTTTTCCATGGGGGTGCAAGGACCTAAATGCTTGAGCCGTCCTTTGTGGTGTCTCAGCGCATAAGCAGGCAGCTAGGTTGGAAATGGAACAGCCAGTACACAAACTGACGCCTCTGTGGGATGTTGGCACCAAAGGTGGAGATTTAGCCTACTATGCCATGGCATTAGCCTCTATCTAATTATTTAGACTATAATATTCACTCATTTTTAAAAAAGATGTATTTAGTTGTATAGGAAAGTCAGATTTACATAGAGAAGGAGAGACAGAGAGAAAGATCCCCCATCCACTGGTTCACTCCTGATATGTGATCTTGGCACATGCAAGGTGAAGACTTTAGCCACTAGGCTACTGTGCCAGGTCCCCCTATCTATTTATTTAAAAACAGAATAACAGAGAGAGAGAGAGAGAGAGAGAAAAGATAAGAGTGCACTTGCCATCCACAGGTTCATTCTCTTTTTATTTTTCTTCTTCTTTTTAATATATTTTTGACAATCTTTACATAGTTAACTAGGGTAAAAAGGTTCAAGAGCTACAGGAAAGTGGATAAGAGTATTATTTCCATATTGTTTCCTTCACGTATCTGAGGTAAAGGGGGATATTGAGAGAGAAGCCCCACCCCACAGGTTCATTCTCAAATGGCCAAATGGGCCAGGCCAAACCTAGAAGCCCAGAACTTCACATCTAGGTCTCTTGTGTGGTTGCATGGGCACAAGCCCTTGGGCCATCTTCTGCTGCCTTCCCAGGTGAGTTAGCAGGGAGCTGGATCAGAAGTGGAGAAGCCAGGGCTTGAACCGGTATGCATATGGGACACCGGCATTGCAGGGGGTGGCTTAACCCAGTGTGCATCCTCCAATTCTTTCTTAACTTAGCAAAAATAATATTCTCTCACGGTCCTGACTTGTGACTCCTGCAGCTTTCCCACCCCCTTTCCTGCCCTACGTTGCAGACCGTTTAGAGCATGCCATGTTTCAGAACACACTGTCAATGTGTCCACTTTTCTCAGGCTAGGTCCTTCCTCAGCGAGCCGCAAAGGGCCTCTCCTGTGTTGAAACCCAGCCAGCTGACATCTCCCCGGGGTCACCTCCTCCCTGAGGTCACGGCCTCAAGGTCATGAAGCCTCCTTCTCTGGCTCTCTTACAGTGCTTTGTGCCCTGGCTTGTTCCGGCTCCTCAGCTCTGGAAGTTTCTTTCCGCCCTAGTCGGTAACATTTATTGCACTTCTGGGCTGGTGGCCATGAAGCACAGCTGATAAATAATTGTTAACTGCACTGAATTCTTGAAACAGTTGGGCGGCAGCATGGCGGCAGTAACACCTGACCAGCTACCGGAAAATGCGATTGGGGTAATAAAATGAAGCAACACATAGAAAGCAAATTCTGGCCTTTTTTTTTTTTTTTTTTTAAAATCTTTTCTTATTTAAAGACTCATTTATTTTTGTTGGAAAGTTAAATATACAGAGAGGAAAATCGTTTGTCTGTTGATTCACTCCCCAAGTGGCTGCAACGCCAGGTGCTGTGCCAATCAGAAGCCAGGAGCCACGAACCTCTTCTGAGTCTCCCACTCAGGTGCAGGGTCCCAAGGCTTTAGGCTGCCCTCGACTGCTTTCCCAGGCCACAGGCAGGGAGCTGGATGGGAAGCAGGGCTCCTGGGATTAGAACTGGCAGCCCATATGTCAAGTTCAAGAGAGGACATTAGCTGCTAGGCTACCGTGCCCCATCTAGTCATTTCTAAAAGGGCCCTACCAAGGAGGGTGAGATGGTGGAAAGCTTCTGATGAGAGCCAATAGCAGGGGAAAATAATTACTACTACTTTTGTAAAATAAAAAACAAATCCAGGGAGAGTGGTATGGTGGCTCCACTAACAGAACTGGCATCGCTTTTGCATGCTGACTCATGTCCCGGCTGCTCCACTTCCCTTCCAGCTCCCTGCCAATGCCCCGAGAAAGAAGTGTAGGATGACCCAACTCCTTGGGATCTTGTACTATATGGGAGACCCTGAGGAAGCCTCTGGCTCTTAGCTTCAGATCGACTCAGCTCTGGCCATTGGGCTCACTTAGAGAGAGAGAAGCAGCAGATGGAAGATCTTTCACGCTCTGTCTCTCCTCTCTGTAAACCTCCCTTTCAAAGAAAAAAAAAGAAAGAAAGAAAAAACATTGTTGCCTGGAAGCATCCTGCCATAGGAGGGCACAGTCACCGTGAGGACTTGCTAAGCTTTAGAGCTTGTCCAACAGACTGCCGCCTGGACTCAGGACTTTAACGTGAGTTTAGAGAAACTTGAATCACCCAAGCAGCAAACCCGGCCGGCCGGCTGTGCCAGGGCGGGAGCTGGCCTTGAGACTGTCTACAACTGCTCAGGGCTGTCTCAAAAGGCTGTCTCCAGTCACCTGACTGGTCCCGAGCAAGCCATACTGGCTCCCATGGAGACGCCCGGCGGGGTTCCGACAGTGACAGGCGGCCTCCACCCAGACGCGCGGGCACTGCACAGAAAGGGCGGGGAGCCTGGTGAGAGGAGCCAGTGTCACGGGCCGGCAGCCCGGCAGCAGCTCCGGAAGGCGGAGGGTCACTTCACACACACACACACCGCCCCGACGCGGAAGCCAGGGCCCACGCCTGGCCAGCACGCTAGCGGAAGGCCGTTGGCGAGCCCTCACACGGCCGCCCCACGGCCGCCAGCAGCGCGGGCGCCGGACCTCCGATCCCAGGGGCCCCCGCGGCGCCGCGCACGCGCGCTGGCGTGGCAGCAGCGCCGCCGCAGGACGCAGGAGAGGCCGACCCGCGAGTGGCGGCGGCGGCGGCGGCGTTTCGCGGCCGGACTGACGGCTCCGCGGCCGAGCGCTTGTCGGGCGGACACCTCGGGCCTCACTGCTCGGCAGGCGCCCCTGGGTGAGTCCCTGTCCCGGGTTAACCCGCGGGACGCGCGGCGCTCCCTGCCCATCGGGGCAGGCTCCGCTCCGGCCTAGGGCCGCAGCCGAGCGCCTGACGGGGCTGGCCGCCCGCGGCCCCTGCTGACCCCGAGGGGCAAAGGAAGGGGCTTCTGCAGACCCTTCCGTCCCGTATCGGGCGACGAGAGTGTCCCGGAGGTGGAAGGGGACACTCGGAGGCGAGGACCGGAGGAGAGCGCAGGGGGGACCCGGGGCCGCCCGGGCGGGTGGACGGGCGGGAGGGAGGGACGCGTGGGGGATGGGATGGGCAGGGGCCGAGGACCGCGCGCGGGCAGGCTTGGGGGCGCCGGAGCCATCCCCCCAGAAGCTGGGGAGGCGAGTCCCGGCGGCCAGAAGGAGCTGGACCGCGGCCTCGTGAATCTTGACGAGCTGGAGCCGCAGGTCTGGGGTTTGGGGGGAGGGCACCCCACCTGGCCCCGACGCTCACACTGGGCTTGGCAACTTCTCACTGGCTGGCCGGTGGATCGCATCCCTTCTGCTTCCACGTTCCCAGACAGGCACAATCGTAGTGTGGGTGCTGTAGCCTGCCCACCCCGGAAAGAAATAGGGTTTGGCTTGAGAGTCAGGTGACAGCTTAGATCTAATTTGGGTGTTTTCATCGCTGGTTTTGGAGCCGCTTTTCAACCACGGAGGGTTTTTTTTTGTGTGTTTGTTTTTTGTTGCTGTTGTGTTTAGCCTAAATTCCTCAGTGGACAGAATCTGAAGGGTCTTTTAAGATGTGTGTGTGTGTGTGTGTGTGTATGTAAGCAGTAAATTATTGCTGGCTGGAATGTTTGATGAACTTTGAATTTGTGCTGTTGTTAGGCACATCTCTTACTGTAACCACTTAAAAAAAATCACTTTGCAAATAGTTCAGGTTAATTGATTCCTTTGGTAATCCCAGGGATGCCTGCGATGCCCATGGCACAAAAAAAAAAGAGTAGGGACTCCTGAGATGGGTTTTAGCTTTTGGCACCAGCAGGGCTGCGTCGAAGAAGGATCCTTGCATCTCTAGATGACCAAGAAGGCAGGGCAGGAGGGATGATCAGGTTGGTGAGGGAGATTTGGCTGAGAGCAGAGTCGTTTTGAAAATTTCTTTCTTTTTTATTGTAAAGTCAGATTTACAGAGAGGAGAGGCAGAAAGGAAGACCTTCCATGCGCTGGTTCACTCTCCAAGTGGCCACAACGGCCAGAGCTCAGCCGATCCAAAGCCAGGAGCCCAGAGCCTCTTCTGGGTTTCCCATGTGCGGGTGGGTGCAGGCTTTGGACCCGCCTGTTTTCCCAGGCCACAGGCAGGGGGCTGGGTGGGAAGCGGGACAACCGGGACACAAACTGGCACCTGTGTGGGATCCCTGTGCATACAAGGGGGACTCCAGCCACTAGGCTACTGTGCCGGGCCCCAGGAGAGTTGTTTTTCACAGCTAGAATAGAGCAGGGCCGCTTCAGTCAGGCCTCGGGGTAATCAGCAAAGTCATGGGGAAGAAAGGGAAGTGAGTGTTTTGGCGACAGAGTTTTACTAAAGGCCCCTCCTAAGCTGGTTCTAAGGGCTTGAAGTACCCCAGTCTTGTGTAAGCTGGGAAATGTCTGTGCTTGCAGGCCAGGCGTCTGGTGGGAAGGTGGGGGGCGGGGTTCTGTCTTGGGTTGACAAGCAGCAGGATCATTCTTCAGCTGTCCTCCTCCTGTGTGACAGGAAGGACACCCACAGACTCCGGGAGCAGGGCGCAGAGCCGCTGGCTCCCCAGGGTGCTGGTGCAGGTGCCCACAGTGCTGCTGCGGCCACCCAGGTTGTCTCGAGGGCAGAGGAATCTGCATAAAGTACCTGAGATTTTTTAACCCGTCTGTGAAGTAAAAGCAACAACAGAAAACAGCTGCCACACACTTTTCCTGGAAACAAAAATAAAGGGTGAATATGAAAAGGTGAAAGCAGTTGTTTGACAAAACAGGAAACTGGTGTTGGAGCAGTTTATTTTGTGAGCTTTGCCTTTTTTTTTTTTATCTTGGAAAGTCGGATATACAGAGAGGAGGAGGGGAAGATCTTCCATCCGCGGATTCACTCCCCAAGTGACCACAATGGCTGGAGCTGAGCTGTTCCAAAACAAGGAGCCAGGAGCCTCTTCTAGGTCTCCCACGCGGGTGCAGGGTTCCAAGGCTTTGGGCCGTCCTCGACTGCTTTCCCAGGCCACAAGCAGGGAGCTGGATGGAAAGTGGGGCCACTGGGATTAGAATAGGTGCCTATATTGGCTCCTGGTGTGTGCAAGGAAAGGGCTTTAGCCACTAGGCTACCACGCTGGGCCAGAGCAGTTTATTCTGATTGAACACGCCATGCAACTGTGTGGAAGAGGTGTTTCTGCTTGCTCTGTTCCCTGACCGGCGTCCTGTGCCATTCTTTGCTCTGTGTCCTTTATCTTCATTATGGAACAAATCCTTCTTGTGTTAGTTCTGTGTGTATTTGAGTTGTGAAAATCTTTTTGTTTACTGTTTGGCCGTCGGCTCTGTAAGCATAGGGACTGTGTCTTTACTGCTCGGCAGTAGGGTGCTCAGTGAGTATTTGTTAAATAAGTGAGTTAATTGATAATTTTTTTATTTCTATGTACAAAGTATATCTATTATAAAATTATTTTAAAAGGTTTTTTTTTTTTTTTTGAGATTTGTTTGTTTCATAGGCAGAGTGATGGAGAGAGAGGGAGAGACAGAGAGCGTGAGTTCAATCTTTATGCATTGGCCAACTCCTCGAATGGTGGTCAGCTCTAGGTCTGGACCCGGACAAAGCCGGGAGGCAGAGGCCCAAGCACTCAGGTCATCTTCCTTCGCAGGTGCATTAGTGGGAAAGTGGATCGAAAGTGGAGTAGCCTTTGGGCTGGCGTTGTGGTATAGTAGGTTAAGCTACCACATGAAATACCAGTGTTCCATATGGGCACTAGTTTGAGTCTTGGCTGCTCCACTTCTGATCTAGCTTACTGCTTATGGTTTGGGAAAGCAGCAGAAGATAACCCAAGTGCTTGGACCCCTGCGCATGCGTGGGAGACCAAGAAGAGCTTCTGGCTTCAGCCTAGCCCAGTGCTGGCTGTTGGGACCATCTGGATAGTGAACCAACAGATGGAAGATTTTTTTTTCTCTCTCTCTCTCCCTCTCTCTCTTTTATGCTAATTTTAAAATAAATACATAAGATGAAAAAAAAGCCAGTGGAATAATAAGACTTAAGCTGGCACTGCTATAAGGTATGCTGGTATTGTCTGGCTCTGTCTATATATATATATAAAAGATTTATTTATTTTTTTTAATTGGAAAGGCAGATATACAGAGAGGAAGAGCAATAGAGAGGAAGCTTTTCTGTCCAATGATTCACTCCCCAAGTGGCTGCAATGGCTGGAGCTAAGCCAGTCCGGAGCCAGGAGCTCCTCCAGGTCTCCCACGCGGGTATAGGGTCCCAAGGCTTTGGGCCGTCCTCGACTGTCTTCCCAGGCCACAAGCAGGGAGCTGGATGGGAAGGGGGCCGCTGGGATTAGAACAGCACCCATATGGGATCCCGGCGCATGGAAGGCAAGGACCTTAACCATTATGCTATCATGCCAGGCCCCATTTATGTTTTTTAAAGATTCATTTATTTTTATTGGAGTCATGTTTATAGAAAGAAGAAGGGGAGACAGGAAGATCTGCCATCCACTGGTTTACTCCCCAAGTGACTGCAACAGCTGCAACTGAGCTGATCTAATGCCAGGAGCCAGGAGCTTTTTCTGGGTTTCCCACCTGAGTGCAGGGTCCCATGGCTTTGGGCTGTCCTCTGCTGCTTTCCTAGTTCATAAGCAGGGAGCTGGATGGGAAGTGGAGCAGCCAGGACACAAACTGGTGCCCATATAGGATCCTGATGCTTGAAGGGGAAGGATCAGCCATCAGACCGGGCCCTGTTCATATTTTTAAATTATGAAAATAATATGCATGCTAAGCTGAAACTAAATTTTTGTATCTTACATATATATATATATATTTTTAAGATTTATTTATTTATTGGAAAGTCAGATATACAGAGAGGAAGAGAGACAGAGAGGAAGATCTTCCATCCGATGATTCACTCCCCAAGGGAGCGCAACAGCCGATGCTATGCCGATCCGAAGCCAGGATCCAGGAACTTCTTCCGGGTCTCCCACACGGGTGCAGGGTCCCCAAGGCTTTGGGCTGTCCTTGACTGCTTTCCCAGGCCACAAGCAGGGAGCTGGATGGGAAGTGGCGCTGCCAGGATTAGAACCGGTGCCCGTATGGGATCCCGGGCGTGTTCAAGTTGAGGACTTTAGCCTCTAGGCCATGCCGCTGGGCCCGTATCTTATATTTTTAATTTTAAAGATTTATGTAATTGAAAGAGTGACAGAGAAGGAGAGACAGAGGCGTTCCATATACTGTTTGTTTCCTAGATGGCTGCAACAGCCATTTCTGGGTCAGGCAAAAGCCAGAGGCAGGCACTCCTTTGTGGTCCCCCACTAGAATAGCTGTGTGTGGTCCATCTTCTGCTTTCCCAGGGAGCTGCATCAGAGGTGAAATAGTGGGTCCTGAACCAGCAGTCAGTTATGGGATGCTGACCTTACAAGTGATAGCTTAAAGTGCTGTGCCCCAACATCGACCCTATGTCATATATATGTATATATATATAAAATTTATTTTTATTGGAAAGGCAGATATACGGAGAGGAAGAGAAATAGAGAGGAAGATCTTCCATCTGATGATTCATTCCCCAAGTGACCTCAATGGCCTGAGGTGAGCTGATCCAAAGCCAGGAGCCAGAAGCGTCTATCCAGGTCTCCCACACGGGTGCAGGGTCCCAAGGCTTTGGGCTGTCATCAACTGCTTTCCCAGGCCAGAGGCAGGGAGCTGAATCGGAAGTGGAGCTGCCGGGATTAGAACTGGCACCCCTATGGGGTCCTGGCATGTGCAAGGTGGGACTTTAGCGCCTGGGTTACCATGCCGGGCCCTAAAAAAATTTTTTTTAAGTGTTGTAAGAAATATTCTGGGAAGTGATCATTTTTATTATTTCTTAAGAGTTCCAGTTTCTTAATAGAAGTGTTCGTGTGGAAAGGTAAAGGAGGTGTGGGGTGCAGATACTGTTCCGTGTGGACGTGGGGAGGTCTGTGGAGTGCTGTGTGTGTGGGGAGACAGCATTTGAGCTGCACCTCAGGCCTGGATGTGATTGGCTGTTGGACAAGGGCTCCCATTCCAGGTGACAGCTTGAAGATAGTCTTGGACAGAAAATTTGTAAATTGATTGACAGAACATTCCGGTTTCTAAGGTATTTACTGTGTGAAAGGGAAATATGGGAACAAAACTAATAAAGGTGGACTTGTTGAACAATTGCTGGGCAATCTGGACCACACAGCCTCTCCTCACCATTATAACTAGTTCGTTGCCTTAGAACCTTTTCTGAACACCTTACAGTGTCTCGTTTACGGGGAACCGCAAGTCAGAATACTGTTTTTTTTTTAAGATTTATTTATTTTTATTTGAAAGGCAAATTTTACGGAGAGGAGAGTTAGAAAATGTCTTCTTTCCACTGGTCCACTCCCCAGATGGTCAAAGCTGAGCCGATGTGAAGCCAGGAGTTTTTTCCAGTCTCCTATGTAGGTTCGGGGTCCCAAGCTTTGGGTCATCCTCTGCTAATTTCCCAGGCCATAAGCAGGGAGCTGGATGAGAAGTGGAGCAGCTCTGACATGAACCAGTGCCCATGTGGGATGTTGGTGCATCCATCCGAGAGCAGAGGATTAATGTGCTGTGCCACCACACAGGCCCTGGTCAGTCTACTGAACCAGAGAGATAGTAAGAGAGTTTGTCAAGAACTAAACAAATTTACGTTTGTGTTTCCTGCTGCAGTATGACCTGGCTTTTCGGGACCTCTTCCCTCATCTGTGTAACGGAGGTGCTAGAACCCCAGCACACGGCATCTCGCTCTTCCCCGTGGGACGCGTTCCGGACTTCTAAACAAGCCTGTCCTTGCAGTGCCCTGAGCACTGTCACAGTGCTGTGCCTTGGCACCAGTGCTCGCTGGCCGGGGCAGGTCGGAGCTGCTCCCCAGTCCCGGCACTTATCCCGGGGAGAGGACCTGCCTTCTGGGGACTGTGACCCTGGAGAGCGACTCCTTGTCGGTCCAGCTCTGTAAAGCTAATAGACTTCAATTAAATTAATTTGCTTGAAAATTACCTTTAATGTGTTTAGAAATCTTTAAGAGCGAAGTTAGATACATTAGTAGTTGCACAACATTCACTTTATTCTTTCTCTTTTAGGGTGGGTGTTTTGGAGACAGTTCATTGCATATTCTAGGAATCTCAAAGGTAATGTATTTGTTTTCAAGCTTGGTGTAAGTTTAATTTCTCTTTCTTTGGGAAGATTAGTACTTGAAATAAATTCTCAAGTACTTAATTATTTTTTTCTTCAACTTTGTGAAGCAGAAAGCTTTTTTGTGACCTATGGTATTTCATTTTTTGGAGTTAATTTTTTCTTAGGCAAGGTGGATTTCAGTTGCATATCTTAACATTAGAACTGTTTAATCTTGTGTTTGTGTAGTTATTACTTTAACTCCGTAAGTAATCTTTACCAAGATGCTTCACTGTAAAGGAACGTGGCCAGTACTGCCCGTGTTGTAGTCTAGGAGTTTTAGGCGTCAAGCCATCAATTAAAATAGTTTTCTTTATGCTTACCCGTATTTCCTCATTTTGATTGGTGAGATTAGAGAAATTTCAGGTTGTCTTGCAAATTTCAAAATACATTATGATTTTGTAATAGAAATTTCAGGCCTATTAGCTTTTATCCCTAAGCTGAAGCTGTTTTGAACTCTGCAGTGCTATGGTCAGAGGAGGAGGTGAGTGTCGATTTTCAGCCTCTCATTTGATAAATGGAAGTGAATGGCTGAATAAATACATGAAAGAGAACGGTCGCGTACTTTGCAGGGAGTTCTGGACAGTGTTTTCAAGTTTGAAGATGAGTTGATAAGAAAAATATAGCTTAAATTCAGTCTGCGTGTATACTTTCTCTGAAGCCATTGTTAAAATGTCGCCTGGCTCTCAGCGTGGTGTCCCCACTGCGGAAACGGGCCTGGGCCCGAGGCCTCGCAGGCTCTCAGGTGCTCGCTTGGTCTCGTTCCTGTGCTGGAGGTGGTGGGAACCATCTGGAAAAATGTGCTCAGTTATTTTTTGTTCCTAATTTGTCTTACTGATTATTTCCCTGTAATTAAATTAATTAATTAATTATTAATATTTATTAATCATTTGGAAGGATTAAGCCATAGTTTTTCTGTTGGAAAATTTAAAAATCAAGAAAGTTAATCAATGTATGTCAGCCTTTTTCCAAGATCAGAGTGAGGTAGTATCCAAACCATTTTTTTTTTCAAAGATTTATTTTTATTGGAAAGGCAGATATACAGAGAAGAGGAGAGACAGAGAGAAAGATCTTTTGTCCCATGGTTCACCAAGCGGGCTCAACAACTGGAGCTGAGCCAATCTGAAGCCAGAGCCTCTTCTGGGTCTCCCATGTGGGTACAGGGTTCCAAAGCTTTTGGCCGTCCTCGGCTGCCTTCCCAGGCCACAAGCAGGGAGCTGGATGGGAAGTGGAGCTGCCGGGATTAGAACCGGCGCCCATATGGGATCCCAGTGCGTTCAAGGCGAGGACCTTAACCACTATGCTATCGCTCTGGGCCCTATACAAATCATTTTAATTTGACCAAATACTTACTTTTTTAAAAAAAGATTTATTTTTATTATTATTATTTTTTTTATTGGAAAGGCAGATATACAGAGAGGAGAGACAGAGAGGAAGATCTTCCGTCCGATGATTCACTCCCCAAGTGAGCGCAACGGCCGATGCTATGCCAATCCGAAGCCAGGAGCCTCTTCTGGGTCTCCCACGTGGGTGCAGGGTCCCAAAGCTTTGGGCTGTCCTCAACTGCTTTCCTGGGCCACAGGCAGGGAGCTGGAAGGGATGCAGGGCTGCCAGGATTAGAACCGGCGCCCATATGGGATCCCAGGCGTGCAAGGCGAGGACCTTAACCACTTGCGCCACCGCGCTGGGCCCCAAATACTTACTTTTTTTTTTTTTTTAAAGATTTATTTTTATTATTTTTTAATTGGAAAGGCGGATATACAGAGAGGAGAGACAGAGAGGAAGATCTTCCGTCCGATGATTCACTCCCCAAGTGAGCGCAACGGGCCGATACTATGCTGATCTGAAGCCAGGAGCCTCTTCTGGGTCTCCCACGCGGGTGCAGGTTCCCAAAGTCTTGGGCCGTCCTCTGCTGCTTTCCCGGGCCACAGGCAGGGAGCTGGAAGGGAAGCGGGGCTGCCGGGATTAGAAGCGGGGCTGCCGGGATTAGAACCGGCGCCCATATGGGATCCCGGGCGTGCAAGGCGAGGACCTTTAACCACTTGCGCCACCGCGCCGGGCCCACCAAATACTTACTTTTAAGAATTATCCTAACTAGACCCAACTTAGTTCTTAATCCACTCTGTCTCCTGGACACAAAACCAGAGTTGCCAGGACACAAACCAGCACCCATAAGGGATGCTGGTACCACAGGGTGGAGGATTAGCTTGGTGCAGCACTGGGCAGACCCCAACAGAATGCCTTGTAATATTCATAATTTAAAGTTGTGACAGGTCCATTTCTATTCTTTCTTTCTCTTTTGTTTTCTTCTCTCTCCTTCCCTTCCTTCCTTCCTTTTTTCCTCCCTCCATCCCTTCCTCCTTCCCTCCCTCCCTCCTTCCTTCCCTTCCTCCCCCCTCCCTCTCTCCCTTTTTTCCTTCCTTCCTGCCTGCCTGCCTGCCTGCCTGCGCTAACAGAGAGAGGGCAAGACAGAAAGATCTTCGGTCTGCCGATTCACTCAGTGCCAGCAGCCGGGGTTGGACCAGGCCAAAGCCAGGCACCAGGAGCCCTGTGCGCACCTCCCACGCATGTGGAGCTCTCCAAGTGCTTTGATCATTGTTGCACCTCAGGCATGTCAGACAAAGCTGGGTCCAAGCAGAGGTGGCTGGGCCCTCCTCTGTGACTTGGTGGGGGAAGCTGCAACCTGTAGCACTTCATCCTTAGTGGGCATGGGCTCGAGACCCAACTGCCTCATTTCTCATCCTGCTTTCTGCCCACAGATCTGGAAAAGCTGCTGGAGATGGCCTAAGTCCTGGGGCTTCTGCCACTCCCTTGGGAAAGCTGAATGGTGTTCCGGGCTCCTGGCTTTGGTCTGGTCAAGCCCTAGCTGTGAAGGTCGGCTTGGGAGTGAACCAGCAGATAGAGTATCCCTTTCTCTGTAAGTGCCTTCCGAATAAATAAGTGGCTTTTGTGTTTTCTTTTTCATTTCTTCACCCATGCGTTGGCTATTCAGTGGCGCGCTTTTTGACTCCATGGTGTTGTAAATTTTTTGTTTTAACTTCATGCCTGTGTGTGGGCAGTGATGCCTTCCTCTTAGGTGGCTATGAGGGCTCTGGATTGTCAGTTGTTTTGCTTATCTTGGTTTCAGAGCCGACATTGTAGTGAGGAGTCATTTGAGACCGCTGAATCAGAGATTAAATGGTTATTTAATTTCAGAGTAATAAAATTATTGGAGGTTCATCTAATTGTGAAAGTTTCTCATACACATTTCTAATGGAGTGAATATTTTGTGTCATTTATGTCCTCTGGGTAATGAAGTAGTGAGATTTTTTTTTTGTTTTAAAGATTTATTTATTTTTCTTGGAAAGGCAGAGGAGATACAGAGAAAAGGGTCTTCCATCCGCTAGTTCACTGCTCAAATGGCTGCAACAGCCAGAGCTGAGCTGATCCTAAGCCGGGAGCTTCTTCCGGGTCTCCCACACGGGTGCAAGGTCCCCAAGGCTTTGGGCCGTCCTCGACTGCTTTCCCAGGCCACAAGCAGGGAGCTGGATGGGAAGTGGAGGAGCTGAGATACAAACTGGCACCCGTATGGGGTCCTGGTGCATGCAAGGTGAGGACTTTGGCCACTAGGCTATTGCGCAGCGTCCTGAAATCAGATTCTTATTCCGTAAAAAGCTGGAGTGTTTTTGAAAGTGTTTTCATTTTTTCCTGCTTCAGAGATTTTGAGTCCTAGCAGTCTTAGTGTTTATGGTAGCTATTTCCTCTGGAGTCCGTAATGTGCTTTGTAGAACAGATTTCACTGGGTCAGGATCTGCTTCCCCTCCTGTTCTGCATGGAGTAGCTGTGCCTGCTTATCAGGAGCTGGCAGACTTGCTCTGTGTAGGCTGGATAGTAAACGTTTTAGGTGGGTGGAAAATAGGGCTTGTTTAGTTCTGTGGTCCTCGGCTGCAGATGTGTAAACAGCTGAGCCTGGCCATGTTGCAGGAACACAGACAGGGAGCTGGGCTGGAGGGGAGCACCTTGGATGAACTGGTGCCTAGATGGGTGGAGTATTAGCATGTTCAGCGACTGCACTGCTCAGGCTGTTTTCTTGTTAGCATAAGATATACACATTAAAGACAAAAATGTAAAACATCTCTAGATTAGAGGTATGGATAACCAGTCACTGAAGAGTTCAGTTAGATTTTATCACTGGAGCAGTCTGTGTCATTAGGAAGGCTTTACTGATCCATGCCTTGGGAATCAGAACAAGTGTGTAATATAGGGCCTGCTGTAAATAACACATTGAAACATAACAATGGGGGCCGTTGCAGTGGTGCAGCAGGCTAATCCTCTACTCTGTGGGTGCTGGCATCCCATATAGGCACCAGTTCAGGTCCCAGCTGCTCTGTTAGCATGCAGCTCTCTGCTTATGGCCTGGAAAGGTGGAAGAGAATTGTTAAGTCCTTGAACCCCTGTACCCCTATGGGAGACCTAGCAAAAGCTCCTGGTTTCTGGCTTTGTATCAGCTCAGCTTTGGCTGTTGCTGTTTGGTGAGTGAACTAGCAAATGGAAGACCTTCTCTCTTCTGTGTCTCCTCCTTTCTGTAAAATCTGCCTTTCCAATAAAAATAAATAATCTTTTAAATTAATTAATTAATTAATTTTATTGGCAAGTCAGGTATACAGAGAGGAATGCAGACAGAGAGGAAGGTCTTCCGTCCGATGATTCACTTCCCAAGTGGATGTAACGGCTGGAGCTGAGCCTAACCGAAGCTAGGAGCCAGAAACTTCTGGGTCTCCCACACGGGTGCAGGGTCCCAAAGCTTTGGGCCGTCCTTGACTGCTTTCCCAGGCCACAGGCAGGAAGCTGGATGGGAAGTGGGGCCGCCGGGATTAGAACCAGCGCCCGTGTGGAATCCCAGTGTGCTCAGGGTGAGGACTTTAGCTGCTAGGCCATTGTGCCATGCCCAAAATAAAAAAAAAGAAAAAGAAAAAGA